GCACTGACGTCCAGAGGGGTGGCAGGGAGGGCCAAGGGTGGCACTGAGGACCAGAGGGGTGGCACTGATGGCCTCAGGTGGCACTGAGGACCAGAGGGGTGGCACTGATGGCCTCAGGTGGCACTGAGGACCAGAAGGGTGGCACTGATGGCCTCAGGTGGCACTGAGGACCAGAGGGGTGGCACTGACGGCCGCGGGTGGCACTGACGGCCGTGTCCCTGTGCGTTGTTGCAGCGGTGATCGTGGGGGGCGTGGTGGGCGCCCTTTTCGCCGCCTTCCTGGTGATGCTGCTCATCTACCGCATGAAGAAGAAGGACGAGGGCAGCTACACCCTGGAGGAGCCCAAGCAGGCCAACGTCACCTACCAGAAGCCTGACAAGCAGGAGGAGTTCTATGCGTAGACGGAGAGCCCAGAGTGCCTCACGCTTCCTCCCTCCCCCCTTCCCCGCTCCAAACCCTCCCCCTCCTCCCCTCCATCCAGTCTCTCTCTTTTCTCCCCCCCTCACTTTTTTTGGGATCAGACTGTGAATTCACAAAGCAAAACCCACAGCGGCTGAAGGAGGAAACGCGTCCTTGGCCTGGGGAGCAGCGCCGAGGTCGCAGCGAGCACCGCTGGCCTTTCTGCTGGCGGGAGGGACGGGACACGGAGCCCATGCCAAGGAGCCCATGCCAGGGCAGCCAGGAATTCTCCAGGAATTCTCCAGGAATTCTCCAGGAATGCCCTGGAGAGCACAGGATGGGCTGCCCACAGCGTCTGGAGCTCAACGGGGCTTTTCCCACCACCACAAACTCTGGGATCCGGACACCTCCTGCCAGCCCTGGGGCACAGGGCGATTCCTTTGGATTTATTCCCTTTTTTTTCCCATCCATAAAGGAGGGAGATTTCCTTCCCTCTGTCTTGTCTTTATTTTTTGGTTTTCTTTTGGAATGGGGTTGGTTGCTCTGCAGGAATCCCTTTCTGCTGGAAGAGAGAACACGACTCTCCAACGCTCCTGGAACCTTGGGAAAAGCACAAGGAATACTTGGGCACCCTGGGATTCGCTCCTGGAGTGGGAAAAAAGGAAATAAACACCAACACTGGGAATGATCCCTTTGGATCAACGTTCTGGAGAGCTCGTGGAGCTGCATTGGGGCATCCCAGGCTGCCTTCTGGCCCTGGAATCTCCTGGATCCACATCTGGCTGAGGGGTTTGGCTGGAAGGGGACTCGGTTTGGGCTGGGTTTTCACTGTGACCACTAAAGCCCGGCTTGGCGGGACATTCCTTGGGGAGGAGATGGGAATGGAGAAGCTGAATCCTCTCCCTGGCTCTTCCAGCGGGGATACCAGAGCTCTGCAAGGCGTGGGATGCAGCCTAAGGAGAGAAATCCAAGCAGGGACAATCCCTGTCCCCTCGGGATCCTGCCAGCTCCAGAGGTGAGGAAGAGGAGGCAGAACCATGGCTCCACCCCAGAGTTAATTGGAAACATCCCAAAATCAATGGGAAGACCCAGGACTGACGGTTTTCCTTTGTTGTTTGAATCCCCAGGATTGATGGTTTTCCTTCTCTGGTGTTTAAATCCCAGCACAACCCACAGGGATGGAGAGATCCTGACCCTGGCACCCCCCAGGCGTCCAGGATGCAGATCCAGACCCTCCAGTGCCTTTGGGAAAGGCTGGATTTTTCCAGAGCAATCTCTGCACACAGATTCAATTAAGATATTTTAATTAAGATGTTTCAATGAGGTGGCTCTTAATTAGCTGGAGCCCTGTTTGTTTGTGGAGCTTTGTTGTCATGATGGTCGTGATCTGGGTGGGGTCCCACGGAGACTTTGGATTTGCTCTTGGAGAAGTTTAAATGGGAAAATTTGGGGGAAAAAATCGTTGCTTTGTGAACTGAGCTGCACGGAGCCAGGGACACTTGGGCCCCTGAGGGGGTTGGTGGATTTAGGGTTTTATGGCCCTGGTGGGGGTTACAGGACAGAAGAGCTTCGTTCTGGAAGGGATTTGAGGCCCTAGGAATATTTTAAATATATATAAATATATATCTCCACTCCCGTATGCCCTTCCACGGGTATGGAGGGAAATGGAATCCCTGGAATTTCTCAGTGCACTGGGATGTTTGGATGGGATTTGGGGCTGGGAAGTTGGGAGCTTTGGGCTGCTTTTCCCTGGGATACAAACCAAAATGATGACCTGGCTTTATTCTGGATGGGGAACAGAGCCCTGCGTGTGGATCAGCTCTAAATCCTCATTTTTGAGCTGTCAGCCTCAAAATCCTCGTGGCTGAGGTTCTTGGAGCTTGGTGAAATCCCTGTTGGATGTTTGGGGTGGTGGTGCTGGGAGTGACCATTCCATGTCCATCCCAGAGGAAGGACGAGGGTGAGGATGAGGATGAGGATGAGGATGAGGATGAGGATGAGGATGAGGATGCTCCAAAGGAGGGAACACGCTCAGAAGGAGCTTGGTGCCAACCCAGAGCCACTTTGTGCTGCTCCAGACGGAGTTTGGACTCCTGGATTTGATGATTTGGAGGATTTTAGCTCTGTTGGGATCACACAAGGGAGAGTGGCACAAATCAAGGTCACCAAGGCCACCCAAAATCCCCGTATTTTGGAAAAACCTGGATTTAATCTTTGGAGCTTGCTTTAAAAAAAAACCCTCCCAGCTTAATCTTTTTAATGCTGCTTTTCAGAGCTGCCTCCCTAATCTTCTTCATTCCATTTTTTCCCTCTATTTAATAGTCTGAAGTTCCATAATACAATTTTTTTACTCATTCAAGCTTAACCTCGTCCCTCTCAGCTGGTGTTAGGATGTAATCCCGGCACTTAAATCCGTCACAGCTTCGGGAGTGAGGAAAGCTGGAGGTGGGAGGGTGAGAGGAGCCGGGGCAGGACTTTGGCAGAAATTAAAACATGAGATAAACACAATAAAAAAAAGGCAAAGGCAATTAAACTGCTAATCAGAAGTGATCAAATAATTCATCCTTTATCTCCTGCTTCCATGCTTTTGGTCTCCCCCTGGAGAGGGAGGCGAGCTCCAGGAGAAATTTTTGGGTTTGGAGCTGACTTTTTGTGATGTTAATGATGTCACAGCCTCTTGGGTCACCTCAGCTCCACGGGGGCTGTTGGAGTTTGAAGGGGAAAAAGAAAAGTCCTGTGCTGGAGGATGTGATCCTGTGCCTCCCTCCAAGGAGCTGGGGTGGAGCTGAACACGGGCAGGCTTTTTTGGGGAAGCCCATATCCCCAAAAATTCCTGGAAATGTCATTTCTCCATGAGCAGAGCCGCAGGGATGGATGGAATCCCTGGGGCAGGCAGCTGCTCCCTCCTGCAGGAGGCTCCTCAGGGATTCCCGGTGGGAAGAGGGATGGGGAAGAGGGGAGGAAGCTCCGCACAGGAGGAGCCATCCCCTGGCTGCTGATTTGGCTGCAGAGCAGATTTTTGGGAAAATGAACTCCAGAGTGAGCGGAGGGACCTTCCCTTCCCTTCCCTTCCCTTCCCTTCCCTTCCCTTCCCTTCCCTTCCCTTCCCTTCCCTTCCCTTCCCTTCCCTCC